TGTTTATGGTTTTAAGGATCATCACTCACTCATAGCATCATAAATTAGTATAATATTGTTATAGAAGATAATATAGTATGGCAATTAAGAGCATGAAGGTCTAGGTCAAGTTGACAGCTTCTCCTTAATAACTTGGTGCCCTTGTCTGAAAATGGAGATGACAACACCTACCTACCCCACTGTGGTGTAAAAATTAGGTTAAAGAAATTAGATGCATGAATATGTAGAAAGTGCTTGGAACAGTGGTGCATGGCAAAAAGGATGGACTTCATTAGTGTGTTATTATTATAGCTATTAGTATTTCCCAAAATAGGATACTCTCATGTACAGTCAACTCCTAGTTCTTTTTTTTCATCTGAGTATCATTTTCTCTCTGTTGATGCTTTAGACTCTCTTGATAGATTTTCCCTATTCTCCTTGCTACCAACTGGCTTATTTTATTCCAGACTTTGTTTATTTATTTCTGTCTTTCTATTTTTCTTTTCTTTTTAAACATCAGCTTCAGTCTACTCACGGTTTCTTCTTCATTTCACTTTGGCTCCAGTTTCCTTGTAACTTCAGTTCCACTGGCCCCCTCTGGTTCTGATTTTATAAGATGGCTACTCTCTACAGAAACTTTCAACTTTGGTCTTGACTGCTAACTAATGATTTCTTCATAAATTCTAGTTCAAATTTTCAAGATTGATTAAAACACCAAAACCTTTTATATCAAACCTCAGGACCAATCACCATCCAGCCAACAGATTAGCTCCTCTTGAATTAGGTACCTGCCTATGACCTAAATAGTGTGGAAGAGGGAGAAAATAATACCAAACCTATCCCCCTGTGGCTATCCTCTCAATGTGGGCTGTGAGCAGACTGGTTTCTTTTAGGGACAGTTTATAAGTATAGCAGCTATGATAATATGTTTAGTATACAAAGAAGCAAAGATGAATAATACATAACCTTTCCTATAATGGAGCTAATTACCCAGGAACAGACATATGTATGAGCAATCATGCAATAGAATAACTACTCTTTATTTATATGGACAAAATAGTTTTTAAACACAAAGGAGAAAACAATTCCATTTGCTGGGTATAGGAACCGGGACAGGCTTTGCAGTATATGGTGATATTTCCATGGATTTGTTAAATATAAAAAATGTTTCCTGAGATGGAGTGGAGTGAAAAGGGGATAGAACAAAGGCATTAAGGCAGATTCAGCTATAAAAACGGTCACAATGGTACAAAGATGAGTGATGTGATAAGGAAATGGGGCTGAAAACTGTGGCTGGAACAAAAGCTAAAACCAGTGAGATTATTAGAGCAGAGTGAACTCTAGGTAAGACCCAACATGTGGATGGTTTTAGACTGTGAATTACTAAAAATAAATTTGGTTTTGGTTTTGATTTTGGTTTTCAGTCAACTAGGAATTTATCAAAGGTTATCCGCAAGTCGAGGATGTGATCACTTCCGTATTTGAGAAAGAAATGTGTTTGTATTAAGAAGAATGTCTCAGAGCAAATAGAGACTGAAGTAGAAACCTGTATGGCTACTAGAATGGCCCAGTTAAGATATAATAAGGCCTAAACTTAAAAGTAACTGTTTCAAAGTTGAAGCAACAGACTAAATAATTATCAGGGTCAAGAGACTGACATGTAAACATCTCAACTGTAATCTAAAGAAACAAAATTCCTCAGAAAGCAACATAATTTATTTTTTAAAAATAGTTTTGCATGAAGAAGATTTAAGATGGCCATTTTATTTTCTTTAGATATATGGCAAAAATTCTAGGAATGTGACATTGGGATGAACATTTCTTCTGCCTTAAGGGGGTTAGAAGAATTCTTCTGAATTCTGTCTACTTTTAGATTTAAGCTAAGTATCAGAAGAGTCAAGCAGGATAAAGCCTCCTCATAGTGTGCAGTGTTGAATCAGATAAATTGGATCAGCAGCAGAACTGAAAATATTCTTATAAAATATAACTGTCTTATATTCATAACTTCATATCTCCACTGAGGGTTTTACACCAGTACTTTAAAAGTATACTTTGCTGTGAAGGCATAATTTCCGCACAACCACACGTGCACATAGTTGTCCATTTACAAGAACAATGAAACACCAGAGACCAGAGCCATTGCAGTATACACAAAGGTACATTGTAAGTTAATAGGTTAATAAAACTCTAAAACTGAAGTCAAGGCATACTGCACAGTAACTTCTAAAGTTAGTGTGTTTCCCTAAAATTTAATATGTTCCTCTTTTATAAAAAATAAGAGGATTTAAATATATTATTCTCAAGCAACTAATTTTTTCCTGCCTCTACCTCCAGTAATTTGCTGACAGGAAGTGACTTAAGGTACAGTCTTTAGGATATTCAGTAGAAAAAGCTTCTTTTTATTGTTGTCATTGTATGAAAGATCTTCAAAACATTTATTGAAAATGTGTTTTATGAAAACATTATGCATAGAATTGAACATTTTTGCACCAATATAAACCTTTACTAACTTATAATAATACAGGCTCTAGTTTGAGGGATCTAGTGTGAGGGATTGAGAATAAGAAACATCAGTTTGAAAAGAGTTCTATATTAGTCCATGCTAATGCTCCTAATAAAGACGGAACTGAGACTGGATAACTTATAAAGGAAAGAGGTTTAATTGACTCATAGCCTCACAGAACTAGGGATGCCTCAGGAAACTTACAATCATGGCAGAAGGGGATGCAAAAATGTGCTTCTTTCTATGGCGGCAGGAAGGAGAAGTGCTAAGCAAAAGGGAAAGCCCCCTTATGAAACTGTCAGATCTCGTGAGAACTCAACTGACTTTCATGAGAACAGCATGGAGGTAACTGCCTTCATGATTCAAGTACCTCCCACCGGGTCCCTCCCACGACACACAGGAATTATGGGAATTGCAATTCAAGATGCTATTTGGGTGAAGACATAGCCAAACTATATCAACCACCTATCAAAGGCAACATAAACTCTTCTAAAATTGAAGAACAAACATCATATTTATGGTGAAGCTTGAGTGGAAGAATGATAAAATCATTGATGCTTTACGAAATGTTCATGGAGACAAGCACCAAATAAATCATCAGTTTACAAACTGATAATTCATTTTAACAAGAGATGATGTCGAAGATGAAGCTCACAGAAGCAGCACATCTACATCAATTCGTGATCAAAAAATTTTATATTATTCATGCCCTAATTGAAGGTAACCAATGAATAACAGCACAGGTAACAGCCAACAACATAGATATCTTAATTGGTTCAGTTTACAGAATTCTGACTAAAACATTAAAGTTGAACAAACATTCCACTCAATGAATTCCCAAACCCTTGTGCCCAGATCAGCTGCAGACAACAGCAGAGCTTTCAGTGGAAATTGTAAATAAGTGATTTCAAGATCCTGAATTACTTTTTTGAAGAATTGTAACAAGAGATGAAACACAGCTTTGCAAATACAATCCTGAAGACCCCATAATCAAAGCAGTGGCTACTGAGAGACAGAAGTGATCCAGCCAAAGCAAAAACAGACCAGTCAAGAACAAGGGTTATGGCCACAGTGTTATGGTATACTAAAGGCATTTTGCTTAATGACTTCCTAGAGGGCCAAAGAATGATAACATCTGCATTCTATGAGAGTGTTTTGAGAAAATTAGACAAAAATGTGATAGAAATATGCCAAAGAAAGTTTCACCAGAATGTCTTTCTACACCATGACAGTGTTCCTGCTCGTTTCTCTCCTGAAACAAGGGCAATATTTCAGGAATACCCATGGGAAATTCCTGAGCATTCAAATTACAGTCCTAATTTGGTTCTTTCTGATTTCTTTTTGTTTATTAATTTGAAAAATCTGTTAAAGGCACCCGTTTCTCATCAGTTATTAATGTAAAAAAGACTACATTGACATGTTTAAATTCCCAGAACCATTAGTTCTTTAAAGATAGATTAAATGCCTGACGTCATCACTTAGAAAAGTGTTTTGAACTTCATGGAGCTTATGGTGAGAAAGTTTATATTTAAAAAATCTCATTCTGCAGTAATAGAGGCAGTAGGAAAAGGCGGGTGGATCACAAGTCAAGAGATCAAGACCATCCTGGTCAACATGGTGAAACCCTGTCTCTACTAAAAATACAAAAAATTAGCTGGGCATGGTGGCGTGTGCCTGTAATCCCAGCTACTCAGGAGGCTGAGGCAGGAGAATTTCCTGAACCCAGGAGGCAGAGGTTGTGGTGAGCCGAGATTGTAGCATTGCACTCAAGCCTGGGTAACAAGAGCGAAACTCCGTCTCAAAAAATAAAATAAAATAAATATATATATATAACATTTTATACTTTTCAATATAAACTGTATTTATGTGGAGACATTTTGCTGCTTTTCCTATTGTTGAGGATGAATGTATTTAATCATATTTAACTTATTTGAAATAATCTAATTTTAATACACATAACGTATTTAAAGAAATCACTGGCGGGGCACAGTGGCTCATGCCTGTAATCCCAGCACTTTGGGAGGCCGAGGAGGGCAGATCATGAGGTCAAGAGATTGAGACCATCCTGACCAATATGATGAAACCCTGTCTCTACTAAAAAAAAATACGAAAATTAGCAGGGCGTGGTGGCATGCACCTGTAATCTCAGCTACTCGGGAGGCTGAGGTGGAAGAATCACTTGAACCAGGAGGCGAAGTTTGCAGTGATCCATTGCACTCCAGCCTGGTGTCAGAGCGAGACTCCATCTCAAAAAAAAAAAAAACAAAAAAAAGAAATCACTAGATAAACATTCTACATCTTTACAGATTTTTTTAATTTTATGTTTTATGTTTAATATTGAGTGAATATAATTTAATTTTATTTCATTGTTTTAATTTTTTATATTTATATATTTAGGAATTTAGATTGATATTTTTTACATGCATATATTGCATACTTGTGGGCTTTTAGTGTACCTGTCACCCAAATAGTGAACATTGTACCCAATAGGTCATTTTTTCAATTCTTATCTTTACAGGTTATTAATGCTGCACTTGCTTTGGCTGCAAGACCCAAAAGTCAGGTGGTCAAAAACACCATGGAAATGTACAAACATACTTGGGAGAATCATATACATGTCCTCACTGAAGCTGTAGATGACATTACAAGCATAGATGACTTCCTTGCTGTATCTGGTATGTTTTTATTGTTTTATTTTGTTTATTTGCTCTTGTCAACTTTATGAAATAGAATAGTGCTAGACTGGGTATGGTGGCTCACGCCTGTAATCCCAGCACTTTGGGAAGCTGAAGCAGATGAATTACTTGAGGTCAGGAGTTCCAGACCAGCCTAGCTAACATGCTGAAACCACATTTCTACTAAAGATAGAAAAATTAGCCTGGCATGGTGGTCCACGTCTGCCATACCAGCTGCTCAGGAGGCTGAGGCAGGAGAATTGCTTGAACCCAGGAGGCAGAAGTTATAGTAAGCTGAGATCACGCCACCACTCAAGCTTGGGCAACAGAGCTGGAGTCCATATCAAAAAAAAATAATTGAATATTAAATTAATATTAAAAATTAATTTATTTAATAGAGAAAACATTTCATTGATTGTGTTTCTGGATGCAATGTGTTGCTGTGTATTAGTAGCAGTTGTGTCATCCATGGTCTACTCTGGGATTATAAGCTTCATGTCTTGTATTCTTTTTAAATTTAACAATTTACACTGTGTCTGTAAAAGAAACTCCTATTCATGGGCAAAATATAATAGAACATAATACCTAGAAGTCTTAGGTTTTTCCTAGGTTTTCAATTAAATCCACATTTTCTCTCTCTCATACATTTATGTATCTTGATTTCCCTGCACTTCTTTCCCAACCAAATTTTTCTCCCCTCAGGGAAAAATGTATATTAATGGGCAAATCTCATTGATTTGAGATGTGTGAACCACAAAATCTGAGCCAGATTTCAGTCAATTTGAGAAGTTTATTTTGCCAAAGTTAGGGATGTGCACCCATGACACAGCCTCAGAAGATCCTGATGCCATGTGCCCAAGGTGGTTAGAGCACATCTTTGTTTTATACATTTTAGGAAGACATGAGACATCAATCAACATAAGTAAGATGAATATTGGTTCAGTCCAGAAAGGTGGAACAAGTTGAAGCAAAAGTGGGACAACTAGATATAGGAAGAGGGCTTCCAGGCCATAGGTAGATAAGAGACAAGTGGTTGTAATCTTTTGAGTTTCTGCTTAGCCTTTCCAAAGGAGGCAATCAGATATGCATTTATCTCAGCAGAGGGATGGCTTTGAATAGAAACGGAGACAGGTTTATCTTAAGCATTTCCCAGCTTGACTTTTCCCTTTGGCTTAGTGATTTTAGGGCCCCAGGATTTATTTTCCTTTGACAGATGCAATATGGTAATTCAACAACCATCATATGTATTTAACAGTGTTAATCTAAAGAATCAAATAAGCAAATCTAAACATCTAATGAAAACATAGAAGCTTGACATTCCATGTGAAGCCCAGATTATTCTCTCATCACTAATTAGAATAATATTCCATAGGATTGTGAAGATACTCTTATGAATCAGTATCCTCAGAAGCATAATTCAAATTTTGTTTATGTTGTTGTAAAAACAAAAAACTAAATGGATTTTAGTCTTTTTTATACTCGCAAAGGGTAAACCTCTCTCTAAATTAAATTATGTATTTTTTTCCTTTTTTGTGAGAGAAGGATTTTCTTGGAATGTGATTTTATTCTTTTTTATAAAATGCAAATTCTCATGAATATCCAACTTCATTTTTTAAAATTTCCTGATTTAGTTCAGTCTTTCAGTCTAACCTGATTTCATTATTTTCATGTATGTATACATTCTTGTAATGAAAAATTGTTTCAGAAACTGAGTATATTTTCGTGATACATTAATGAAAGTGAAATGTATGCTAATGACATATTTTAAAATTACTTTATAGAATTAAAATCTTTGAAAATATAGAAAATATATGGGGAAAAAAATCAATGACCTTTGATTCCACTACTCAGGAATAATAACCACTGCTAATTGATTTTTTTCCATTCACCACTTTTCTAATATATATTTATATTTTCAAATGTATATTATGCATATATATATGTATTTATGTTACTTGCCTTTTTACACATAATATTTGGCTGTGTATTTCTGCATGATTATATATTCAGGAAATTATGCATTTATGTGCTCTTTTGTTAACATTTAGGTAAATAGTAACTTTAATTATTGTGAACAATGTTATGTTAAGCATATTTTTGTCTACTTGCTATCTCCTTAGTATAGACTTTGCAAAGTAAATTCAGTCAACACCTTATATTAGAAAAATCTTTTGTAATTTGATTGTTAAATAGTAGGTTCTGTTTCTCAGTTGGTTCTTTTGGTTAATAGGCAAAGGAACCTACTCATATTAATCAATGTAAAGACAGTTTAACATAGTAATACTGACAGCACTTAGGGAGAATCCTCTGGACATGCGAGAAGGGGAACCATAATTTATCAATCCTTGCATTATTACAGCTGGGGGAGGCCTGGGATCCTCCAGGCATATTGTAAGTCCTTAAAGCAGGAATTCATAGTATTTCTCTTTGGTGCTAGATTAACCTAATATAGCAATATTCTGGATCTGCTTTTCTTTTCACAGACAACTTAAGCAGTTCAGAACATACACAAGTAACAGAAAAACTCATGTAAAAATTACTTAAATAACAAAAATCCTTAATTATCTCATATACATAGATATTTGATATAGTTGGCTCTAGGCTGCTGGCCCTAGCATACAGTGGACTTGGGGAGGAGTAGTTCAGCTATGTGGGGAGGCATTTTTTTTTTTTGAGACAGAGTTTCTCTCTTGTTGCCCAGGCTGGAGTGCAATGGCAAGATCTTGGCTCACTACAACCTCCACCTTTCGGGTTCAAGTGATTCTCCTGCCTCGGCCTTCTGAGTAGCTGGGATTACAAGCATGGGCCACCATGCCCAGCTAATTTTGTGTTTTTAGTAGAGACAGGGTTTCTCCATGTTGGTCAGGCTGGTCTCGAACTCCTGACCTTAGGTGATCTACCCGCCTCGGCCTCCCAAAATGCTGAGGTTACAGGCATGAGCCACTGCACCTGGCCAGGGAGGGATATTTTAGTCACTAACATTATTTAGAATTGTCTATACAAGAGGATAATAAAAACTGAACTTATAGTTAATATATTTAATTATTATTGTTAAATTCTGTAGAGAAAATGTACATTATTTCCTATATCCAGGGTGGATGGCTCATAGTTTTCTATATTTTGGATGTCCCGGTTGGTAGTGGTTCCGTAACAGGAAAGGGGTCCCATTCTAGACCTCAAGAGAGGGTTCTTGGATCTTGTGCAAGAAATAATTCAAGGTGAGTCTGCAGTACAAAGTAAAAGTAAGTTTATTAAGAAAGTAAAGGAATGAAAGAATGGCTACTCCATAGACAGAGCAGCCCCGAGGGCTACTGGTTGCCCAATTTTATGGTTATTTCTTGATGATATGTAAAAAACAAAGGGTGGTTTATTCATGCCTCCCCTTTTTAGACCGTATAGAGTAACTTCCTGATGTTGCCATGGCATTTGCAAATTGTCATAGCACTGATGGCAGTGTAGTAGTGAGGTTGACCAGAGGTCACTCTTGTGGCCATCTTGGTTTTGGTAGGATTTAGCCCACTTCTTTACTGCAACCTGTTTCTTTTATCAGCAAGGTCTTTATGACCCGTATCTGGTGCCGACCTCTTAGCTCATTCTGTGACTTAAAATGCCTTTACTGTCTGGGAATGCAGCCCAGTAGGTTTCAACCTCATTTTACCCAGCTCCTATTCAAGATGGAGTTGTTCTGGTTCATGTGCCTCTGACAGTTCAAAGTTATTAATGTGTAAGCAACTCTGGATTCTGTTGATCTTCCCTCATGGTTGCATCTTAAAGCATTGCATCTCCAAGCATTATACAATACCATTTAAAACACAAAAAGAAACTGGCTTGCAGCTTTAACTTTCGAGAAGAAAGTCTTTCCCAGATGGTTTTCATCAGTTTCTCTTACTTGTCATAGGTCAAGAAGTTGGTCCCTTTCCCAATATTGAGCCAATCCCTGGCAAAAAAAAAATTAGATTTCCAAGATAAGTTTAGAGAATGCTGGATAAGTGATTAAAAACTGATAGAAGCCAGAGAGAGTGTTAGTCCTAATTTGTAGCATTTGTTTATTTATGTGGCATAAATATTACCACCTTTGCAGGTTTTAAGCTACCAATGTGATTGCACTTAACTCTGAGTTGGTACCTAATGCATAGAATCGGCTCTTCTGAGCTGGTATAAGCAAGTTCTTACAGAACACTAGGCTTAGACCAGTCACAATTTAACCTTTATTACTAGTCACTTACTACGCAAACAAAATCAGAGGTTTGTTAGTCAAAGAGGAGTAATGGCTAGTGAACAGACAACCAGACACATTTGCCTGAAGTACTGAGTGGTTCCCACTGCATTCTCAAGTTTCTGTGCCTTCATAAGCTTACCTTGTATTAGTTTACTCATGATTCTTTACAAATAATCTTTTTGTAACATCATAACTTTTCAATATCTGCTCCTGCAAATTATGGCATCTTCTCTCAGAATTTTCCCAGTCAAAAAAATGAGAAATAATCCAGGTGGCCCTCTGGTACTTTTTAGTAGCAGCCAGGTGTTCTAGGTCCAAAATAAGACCAATGAATCAGTGGGTTACTTTTTTTTTTTTAAGATGGCTAATCATAGTTCGAATACCTATGATGAAAATTGCCACAATCTTGCACCTTCTGTGTGGGGCAGATTTTTAAAGAAAAGTTACATATCTGTTTAATAGCAAATAACTTATCTGGTACTTTTGTAGAAAGATTGATATGGTGTGACTATGTCCCCACCCAAATTTCATCTTGAATTGTAGTTCCCATAATTCCCACGTGTTGTGGGAGGGGCCTGGTGGTGATAATTGAATCACAGGGGTAGTTTCCCCCAACCTGTTCTTGTGATAGTGAGTTAGTTCTTGCAAAATCTGATGGTTTTATAAGGGGCTTCCTCCTACATTGGGCTCTTAATCTCTCTCCTGCCATCAAGTGAAGAAGGATGTGCTTCTTCATAAGAACTATTTGCTTCCCCTTCCACCATGATTGTAAGTTTCCTGG